CTTCATAGAAATGATATCCACTAGAGCAGCCAAGATATTTCTCAGTCTGCTGCTCATGGGTCTTTTCATTACTTTTTTTGTTCTCACACTGCTTGCCCAGTACAGCAGCTGTTAAATGGAGAACTCTGAGAACTGGGGAAGGCTATTGGTATAGCATTTGATTAACACTATTTTTGCAGGAAATTGATATGTCAACTTTTTTTAGCCTCGGGCAAAGGTTCTATCCAACCCAATCCATATGGCAACTTTCTTTAATTTCAGATGCCTTTATAACCTCTGATATTTCACTGGGTTTTTTTTTCCACCCTTTGTGCTATCATGTGATTTTTGTTCAACTATATGATTGTCCCATTAAGAAATACATTCAGCAATCTTTCCTGTTGGCCCTGGGAGCCTGCAGTGTTTTGTTCATTGCTTCAGTGAGTGTGTGTTGGCACAGCTCCGTTCACAACAATGAGACAATGAAAGGTCTGGCTTTTATCCACAACACACTATAATTCCCTATTCATAAGATAAATTCCTTTTTGTACAATTTTTAATTTTTTTTTCATTACATATGCTAGTTACATCTTAGGGTGAATCAGTCAAATGGACTCTAAATTAAAATAGTTGGCTGATCTAAGCCCAAAGTCTGTTGCAATGCAGTTTTCTCACAGCTTGGAAGAAAACAGCCAATATAGCCACTACAGAAATAGGTGATTATTCTTACCCTCTGTCTTTTTTCCAGGTAACTGAGTAGATGAATGTCCCCTAAAGTTTTAATCTTCTAGGTAATTAGGAGAAGTAGATGGAAAGGAAAGTCAATAAACCATGTGTCCCTGAATAGGTCACGCTGACAGTCAGGATGTCACTGGAAGGACAGGAAATCCTTAAATTAGAAGCATCATTTTAGTCTCTAATTTAATCCATAAACCAGAATCAAAAGTGGTTTTGAATGGTACACACATAAGAATATTTCAGTGGGGCTGTGAACTGCACAAAAGACTCAAGCATACAGAGAAGAGGCTTGTTTGTCTTAGTGCCTTTTCTCACCACCTTCAAAATCATCCAGGGTATTCTTGGAGATACAGAAAACAAGGCTTCAAAATCTCCAAATAAGACAAAATTCTATATTTTGTAAACAGAGACAAGTGAACTCCGAACTGAACTTAACAGAGTAAATTATCAACTGCTTTGGATGAGAGAAGTCCAACACCCAACACGTTGGGCTTGGAGCTGCTTAGTTTTGATCAATGACAGATCTGACCCAAAGGTTTGTCCTTCTTCACACTGGCAAAAGAAGGTGCACACCCTCCTCTCTCGGTGGTCACCACTATCTAGCTAAACATTTGCTTTTTTAATTCAGGGGAGGAGAGGAGAAACAAGCTAATCACATAAAGGTTCACCCCACCCTCTGCTTGGCTTCTCTTCCTTGGCAAGCCTTCCCAGCAGCAGCTGGCTGCCTGTTTTTCTTCTACAATTGTGTTCATGACATTTCCTGCAACTAGGTTTTCCTGAAGGTTTCCAGCAGTCCTTTCAGCCCACTCCCCCTCTTTTTTGGCCTCCTCACCCACTAACCATGGCTCATGCCTAGTTCCCAGCAAGCACTGAATCCCCATCCCACATCCATGATTAGCCTCTGTAAGCTCTCAAGCTATACATTGATTTTCTGGGGTTTGCTTGTGAGTCTGACCAATTTACTGAGCATAACTGGTTACTGTAAGGGATGCTGAACAGCCATGATGTAAACAGAGCCAGTCAGAGAATCACAGAACATTAAGGTTGGAAAAGACCTCCAAGATCATCGATTCCTATCAGTCCTTCCTCAAGGTACCTGCTCTAGCAGACAGACACAGACTTTGCCCTGTTTCTCAGTTGTCTCCTCTTTTAATATAATTCTTTTTTGGAGAAGCTGCATGCAGCCCTCTCCATGCTAAATGACTGATATGAAGAACCAAGATTAGGGAGAGCTCATGCACAGATCCTGGATTACTTAACGTGCTGGTACTTTCCCTCACCACACTCCTGAAAGCTTCATAAACTGTCCTTTCACAAGCTTTTATAAACACTCAAGTGACTTAATCTTTCAGTGTAAAAGCCTACTTGTATTTTAAGCTTTCTGTTATCAATGTCATTAAATCAATATCCTCGGTGCTACAGGATCCAAGTCACATACAAGCTGTCACACACAGTTTAACTTAAGAAGTGCAGAATTGAGGTACAGTCAGTTTGCTTTTCGTAGATTAGAGAGTACTTTGAAGTAGAGCTGTTGAAGATCAGAGGGAGTTTATTCCTCCATAGCCAGTTTCTTATATGTTGGGGGCTCTCTATTCTAATGACAGTTTTGTTGCAGAACTTCAGTGAAGTCTAAGAAGATGAGTATTTTATGCAGTTATCATAAATGGCACTGGAAAGCCTTGTCAAGTCTGTGTTGTGGGTGTTAAAACATGGGACATACTCTTTTAGAGAAATAAAAAGGCGAAGTTCTATGAACCCTTCTTGTCCATTTTTCAATCTATTTATCTCTTTTTTTAAATTATTATCTGTTCTTTTTCTACCTGGGTACTCACAGAATTCTGGACAGGTCAGAGACTGTATGGCCTCACTTGGTGCAGTTCATTGTCTAATGAGTGACATCTGTGTTTAGAGTTAAGATGGAGAAAAACAGTAATTTGTCCCTTGCCAGAGATACTTAATGGAGGGTAAAACATACATCTGGGATTTATTTGTGTAAAAAGGCACACAACTGCAGCACTGTCTCCTTCCAACCTGACCCTCTGGTGCCTTTTCCATTTAGTGTATTAACAATCCAGATTTATCTAGAGAGATCTTACAAACCAGAAATGACAGTTATTGTTCAGTCTTTGCTGTTATTACAGCAGGTCTTTCTCTCTCCCTTTTTTTTTCTATTTTAGCCACTGTTGGTCTGTCATAGAAGTGAAATAATTTGTAATACAAACTGACTGTAGGTTCATTCAATTGCTTACTTCAGGAAAGCTATGGGCACACTGGACAGAACACTAAACAGTGCAATGGGCAAAGAGTGTCAGGTGCCCTTGCTGCTGGTGAAACACAATGCACTCTGCCAACAAAACTCCAAATTAACTGAACTTGCAGAAGGCAGTTTTCCAGCCATGGGTTATGGATCATTAGTCTTCTGCAGTTTCTGGACTAGTGCTCTTCAAAAATGCTCTGAGCAGCAAGAGGTGTGATGCAGGAAGGAAGCACTGAAAGGCACTTCATATTTCATAGATGTTTTGTGATTTGAAAGTTGTGCAGGACCTTCCACTGTTAGAGGTGAGGCTGTGGTGGAGCATTTTCTGAAAGGAATGGGAATGTCAGGATTGATGGATCTAGCAGGGAACATACCAATTTGATCCTGAAGCCTTGTACAAGGCCTTCACAGGACAATGAAGAAGGAGCCCTTTGTGTTAATTAATGTCATATACTTGGCTTTACTACATCTCTGTCACCATAGCTGGAAAGAAAGTGGCATGAAGAGATCAGTGAGATATTTCCTGGTGATGAAGAACTTGAATCTATCCCATTAAACCTTCTCAGTGTGGCACACTGTGAGAGTGTGAGGTTTTAGTGTTGGCTTTGTTCCTCATGGAACATGTTTCCTCATGGAAAAGGGTTACAGGATGTCACCAGAGTCAAAGGGGAAAGTAAAGACCCTTGGCAGAGAAGTGACACTTCTTCCTCTCCACAAAGCAGCTGCCCTGCAACCTCAGCTGTTTCTGTGGTGAAGGCTTGGGGAAAACAAGGTGAGGCAAGGAACTAGAAATTTTGTCCAGGGTTGTGCTCAAGCAGATAAGAAGATTTCGTTTATGCTATCCAGAGATGTGAGTTAAGAAGAAGTAAATGTCCTTATCTACAGCATAGCTACTTGAGGTGTGTGGAATCCAGTGTGAACGTGTGAATGCCTTGGGCTAGGCAGAAATGCTTCATTATCACTAGTGAGGAGGGAACTGTGCTACCTTGTGCCTGGCACTCCTTGTTGGTCTTGTGGGAGAGGAGAAAGAAAATTGCATCAGGAACTTCTTGTCCTTGGTTGAGTTTCAGCGTGATGAGATGGTGAGGTTTTTTTCCTTCTTTCTCTAGAACAAGGAAAGCAATGCTTGGTTATCTTTCAGCTTGACAGCAGAATTGTGTTGCAATAATTTGAGAGCTGTTGATTCACCAGTGATTTGTTTATGTTGAAGACTGGCAATTAAAAAAATTGCTGCAAGGTAGGGTCCACACAATGTGGACTTTGGGGATTTATGGGTTAGAAAAGGTTGAACAGATCCTGGAAATCCTCTAGCTTGCATATTTTTTGTATAGCAAACTATTACTTTACTCCAATATAATTTGAATTATTTTGTCATGAAGCTGATGCAACAGAGTAGAGAATGGAGTCTCAAAGATTCTTGAATACAGGAGGTTGAGTTAGCTGCTGAGTCTGTTTATGGAAGATAGAAGTTATGTCATTATAATGCTGAGGTGCATTCAAATAAAAGCTTGAATTATGACATTGCTCTTTTAGTCTGATTGTTTGTTTTAAAATAATTGCTATTGTGGTAAGGAAATGTCTGTGAGTTGGCCATGGTAATGCACATATTTCAGTGTTATTAATCCCAAAATGTGACATTTTGATTACCCACTGAGAACAAATGATGAACAAAACGCAAAGAAGCCAAATATGTGCCGAAGAAATCCTGCAAAAATTAACACATGTATTTGTGCTTATATAGCATAAATAATCCTGATTTGCTGTTTACTTAAACAGGACACAGATTTCTCACTCAAAGCAGCACGAGCTTAATCCCAGTGTGTGAAATTAAGACTTAATACCAACCTTTGTATGTTTGGGGCTTGTGTTAAAGCTATGAGGACTGACCAATTTTGTTGTTAGTTATGGTGTGCTAACCTAGAATAAGTCTCCTGAAATTATTATAGCAATGAGAGTTTAAAGTAATTGAAGAGTGGAATTTAGTCCTTTTTAAACATTTTTTCAGAGTTTATATCTTTTCTTGCAGACACCCAGACAATACAGCCTAGCACGCAACAAGAGCAACAGAGTCCATCTTTACTGTGCATTTCTGGACTACAGGTATGTTACAAAATTTCAAATTCTTGAACTTGGTTTAATTAAATGGCACTTAGCTTTGGATGCTGTGTATAACCTTCTTGTTTCCTTTTGTTCATGGAGATAGTCAAAGAAATGGAACCAGTGCTTCAGAAAAAACACAACCTGATAGTAACTTCTTGCCATAAATAGGAGACTTGTTATTCTCAGAGTCTGGGTTAGGCAGGTAATTGGGAATCTGAAAAAATTTCATAATTAAAAGTGCAAACTGATACAAATTGGTTTATGAGTATGTCCACTTGGGCAGATGCTTGGATGTTTTAAGATGGCAAACCTCCAGCACAGCCATTGTTTTCATTGGATCTGTGCCTGTGTCACAACATCATGTGAGATCAGTATTTCAGAGCTGTGAATTTTGCCCAATCCATGGAATGGATAAATATTGTGCCCTTGAATGCAAATTAGAATAGAAAGGAAATAAATATCGCCTCGAATTTCAGTTAGAAAATAAAAACTATGCAAAAGCAGTAGCTTTTCCTTTTGGTTTTTATTTTTTAGCTCTGAATATATATTTCATCTGGTTTTGATTTTGAAACATGCTGCTCTTACAGAATTAATTCAGAAAGAATAAAAATGGAGAATTTTGAATTTCATGGGGATTAACAGTGTTTGAGCCGGAACAGTACAAGCCTAATTGATGCAGCAATGGCCCATGGTGCTGTGATCCCTCCTATCCACCATGCACTTGGGAAGGTCACTGTAATTGTTTGATTGAAGTTTTGTTTCAAGTGTGTAGAACTGTCCCAGCTGTTGGCAGTTACTCGTTGTTATGGTTACTTGCAAATTGCGATAAATTAGAAACAGATTTTACTGAAGCAAATTAATATGGTTGTGGCATTGTTCTTGTACTGTTCTCCACTGGGGCTTGGGCCCTTGAGGCTTTGCCTCAGGGTAGAAATTAAAATATGAAATCTGTCCTTCCAAATGAGTTTCATTTGTGCCAAGATGGTCTTATTCCCTCGTGCGTGGTAGTTAAAGAATAAGCAATTGGTTTCTGACCTACAACAAACTCTCTTTGAGAACTCAAGGAGGTCCCGAAGGACAGAAGTGTGAGGTAATACCTAAAATAAACTCTGAGAAAAATACAGATCCCTCGATCTAGCTGCAGGGCCCAGAATAATATCAAAAGTAATAGATAGTTAAGATCAGGCAGTTTGGGTGGGTGATCTATGGTGCTGAGCCCATGGAGCCCCCCGAGATGTGTGTCTGTGGCTCCTGTGTCCCCAGCTTCACTTCAGGACTGTGACAGCACAGAGGATTCTGTCTTTCCCTGGCTTAAAGAAAAAGCAAACTCATGAAGATCACTCTCCTGCACAGCTCAGGGACCACCAGGTCACACAGCCTGCCCAGCCATTCCCTCAGTGGAGCTGGAGCTGCTCTTGCTGTTCCTGAGGAAAAAGTGACAAAAACCATGGATAGGTCACTAGAAATTGTGCTCAATCAGCCTGAATTCCTTTGAGAGGATGAGCAATGGATAAGGGACAGGCAGCAGATGAGATACACTGACTTTTTTGGGGTTTGCAGGATTATTGACTTGTCTGATACTACAGTTCTCCAAATACAGGAATTTGAGTCTGGGTGAAATGCCATAAATGAGATGCACAATGTACAGAAAAAAAAAATGTAGTTATCATACATTGATTACAAAGCTGGGAAGAAATCTCTAGAGACATACATAAAGAATTTTGATCTGCACCCTGTCCTGGTCAATATTTTCCTTATCTATTTTCATGATGGAATCGAGAAGATGTGTTTGTGGATGTTTCAGCCTGAGATGGCTTCCAAACCTTTTTCTCTCCTCTAGAGTGCAATGCATGCTAAATTAACCTGCATAAGAGGCATTTTGATAGAGATAATGTTCCATTTTTGTGTGCTTTGCAGCAATGGAACTGGTGTGTGGTCTAACGAAGGTTGTGTGCGTGAGAGTGGAGACCTCAACTACTCAGTGTGTCTCTGTAACCACCTCACTAACTTCGCCATCCTGATGCAAGTGGTACCTCTGAAGGTGAGATAAAGCAAAGGAGTGAATCTGTTAAAAATGAAGCATAAATATATCAGTTGCATCCTCACACCACATCAGTAAGTGATTGGAACCGGGCTCGTTTTTTTTTCCAGACTCGGATTTATTCCACATCTTGCTTTCTGCCATGATGTTTTAATATTTCTTGACAATATTTATTTTTTTAAAACTTTTGGGAACTGAAATGGAGCACGAACTGAAACACATCTTGGAGTCCCCTTTATCTTATTCTCACCATTTTGGCATGATTTCTTACAGTTTTCTAGGCAGGAAAAGCACCAGAGGACATTGTACAGGTCACCTTGGCTTTTATGTTTCATTTTCAAGAGAGAGACAGCTGAGATGTGGCTGTTTAGGGTTTTGGTAACTAGACTTGTGGAATATAAACAGCTGAGCTTGAACTCCATGTGAAGTGAGCTCTGCTGCCAGCTGGCCCCTGCCCTTGTCTCTGCCAGCTTTCCAAGTGTCTCCCTGCTGCTGTTCCTTCACGTTGCTGCCAAGCAGAGGCTTGTGCAGAGGGAACATGAGAAAGAAAATGATTCTTTCGAGTTGAGAGTGAACCCCTTATGTATAGTTTTCTCTGCGCTCACTTTCTTTGTCCAAAGAGTTGGCAAGCCTCTTTCCAGCTGGAACACAACTTTCCCTGTTTACCCAGGACCTTTGCTTGCTGTTCATGCTCATCACTGGTTGCAGATGAAGTTTTGATGGCAAATACTTTGCTCTGTACACTAGCCATGTTCTTCTCTCCATGCTAGAGAGTGTGTCTGCTCCTGGCAGGTGAACTGCTGTTTCTGCTGAAGGACTCCCTCTCCAAAACTCAGCAGCAGGCAAGATCAACCCCATCCTGGACTGTAGCAGTCAGAGAGACAGCAGTGCCACATAGGAAAGGGTTTTTACCACTTCAGTTAGGTGTGCTGCTGTCTGGGAGGATCCAATGGAGTTAGCAATGTAGGTCTGCTCCAAGCAACCCTCAGTTAATAAATAACAAAAGCATAATATAAATAATTTACAAACTGCACATTTAAAGAAACATATACCTATTGTCTGTCAGATTTATACTCTCTGGCACGTTCTCAGCTTTCTACAGGCACTAGATTAAGAGACTGAAGAAAAGCTTCAGTAGGACTCCAACTACCACATTTATCACTGTGTCCTGCTAACCAGCACGGTGTCCTCTGTGGTGCAGCTCTCTTGGCATGGGTGTGTTGACTAGACAGTCACATCTCAGGCTTTGGTTAATTGCTTTGAATGATGGGTTTGTTCTTCTCTTAGGCAGGAGCTTTGCCAAGACAGCACCTGACTCAGGATGGGTTTGTGAGGGCAGCACAGGTTCCTGCAGATCCAGAGCCCAACTTGCAGTGTAAGGGAATTCTAACCAGCAGCACCAAAGTCTTTTCAAGGACTGACTCATCCCAAATTGCTATTAGGAGCTACTGATTCAGGAACATTCTTAGTACAACTGCTCCCCTGGTAATCCTGGTTAGAAGGTGCACTGCTGTCGAGGTCAGGGTCACAGTTTAGAACAAGATGGTCTGCTATTCAAAGAGCTTAATTAATACCCACTGCCCTTTGTATTACTCTAAGCATTTGAAGATGGGGGTTAGCTTCTTCAGGTCATCTGGGTTTTATCTAACCATGATTATCTTTATTACTTGTAAAGGACCTAATGGCCCCAGCTGGTTTCCAAGTATCATTTTTCCAGGAACTCTTCATACTGATAATAAAATGCAGCTTTGCCTGAAGAGCCCCATCTTGTGAGACAAAAGCAACATGGGAGAAATGCACTGCTACTAACCCTGCTTTAAAGAGCAGCATACAGGGAATTAGCCAGGATTAAACAGGATGGGCACCAATTAAATGCCATTGAAAGATTGTTTCTCCACTGGGGAATAGTTCTGAAAGGTCTAACTTCAAACAAACAGACTTGAGATTGTGATCATTAATGGGATGCTGCAATAAGTTTTAGTATTATGCAATATTAGTGACTGGAGATCAAAGATATTTCATATCAAAGTCTTTGGAATCAAGTTTTCCTTAAGAGGTCTGAAATGCATAATGAGGAAAGGCTGGATGTGAATGGACCATGCAGTTCCTCACAGTCTAATGGTTCTATTTTCTTTTTTTTTCTCCCTACTTAAATTTTTGATCTAATGCATTTACATCTGCCAAAGTCTGTGGGAAATGTTTTTGCATTGCTTTTTTTTTCCCCTTTATGATATTTTAGTAGAATGACGTGGATGTGTGAGACAGATAATTACTTTGGTGCATAAAAGACCTCTGACTTGGCTATTATATAGTCCCTTTCTTAGAGTTCATCAGAAAATCTCATCCCAAATCTTTGACCAAGACACACCCTTTTAATTGACCATTTGGAATTATCTTGTGGTACTGATTTTTTTTAACTAATGAAAAAAATTCTTCATTGTGTAATTGGCATGAAGGTAAGAGTCAGCTTCCTGGCTTTGGAGCTGTACAAGCAAACTGTGCTCTGCTACAAATTCCTAAAACATCTGCTAAGTATTTGCTTCACGTGTCTAAGCATTAGAGCCTAATGAATCAACAAGACAATTGGAAACTTCTCTCAGGTGTCCTTGGAACCCTCTTAAGTAAATGTTCAAATGCTGTGGATTTTAAGCACATATTCATGTTTACTCATCGTGTTCTGAAATTCATGAGGTTCAAAGGGCTCATTTAAATCACCCATTGGAAGAGCAGATTGTCAGTGCTCTAAGAATTGTTGCAACGATGTTATATTTGATCTTGAACTTTTTTATCTGTTGGGGTTTTTTACATAAATGAAGTACAGAGATGATGTGAGACAAGTAAATGGGAGGGTCTGAGCATGCAATTGTTCACATTTGGACAGTTCTGTTTATCTAGCTGTTGTATATCTGTGTCCATATAAATAGAAATGGAAGAAATTTTTCAGCATGAACACTATTTTCCACAGAACATTTTTTTTGTCTAGATTCTGTCCCTTACACAAAGGGCTCTGATCTTAATAAAAATTGCAAATAAATTATTGGAAATACATTACCTGAAAATTGCAGAGATTTTCATCAAACGCTGCATTTTTGTACAAAAAAACATTTAATTCATTCTTCATGGGAATTCTTTGGCTGTTTTATACTTCCATTCTCCTATGGAAAGTATAATTTCCCTTTCTTTCCATGGTACTGATAAATGCAGCTCTCAGGGGAGCAGCAAGAGACAAATATGCTCTCCAAGGGCACCAGAACAGCCTTTAATGCAGCACTCAATGGAACAGTAAAACCAGGTCTGAAGAGTTCTACCAGCCCTTGCAGAAAGACAGGCAGATGCACAGAAAATTTCAAACAAACAAACAAAAATAAAAATGGGCATATTGGCAGTTGTAGAGTTGTAATATAGACCAGTGTGTATGCTGCAGCTTCAGACCCAGGAGAACATCCCTAGGGAGATCACTGTTGATGTGGAAATGTGTGAACTCTTGAGACCAGCTCAGTGTGATAAGTGTTCTGACTCAGCTTCTCTTCACATTGATCTTCTTCCTGCCCAAAAGACCAAAAAAAGAAAGAAAAGAAAAAGCACAAGCTTTCCATTAATGAGACATTGCAGTTATTTAGAGTTTGCTGTTCCCAACTGGAAAGCACAACATCCTCGTGGAGTTCAGACAAAGCCAAAGTGTCTCTAAGCAACAAACACTGAAAATAAGTGACCTTCCTCAGAAGTACCTACCCTGGCACACAGAAAGGTGTGGTGAGAGTTTCTAATGAGCAGAGAGCTTAGCTTGTATGATAACTACATGTCAAGGATGGTGACTCTTTCTTCTGGGTTATGCTAAATTTGAACAAGAATCTCCTTACTTAACTCCTTTGTTCTTTCACATGGTTAAGTCTAACTTTTTCCACTTACAGAACTACAGCATGATCCAGACCTTGGCAGCTTCTGTGAACCTGCCCCAGTGCTTTCCTTCCTGCTGGTACTGGTCCAGCTCCTTTTCACACCTTCACCAAGATCCAGCATCTCTCTATATATATTTACACATTTTGTGCATTTCTTGTGCACACAAAAGCCTTGCTATATATTCTCGATATTCTTTGTCATTGCAATTTTGTTACAAGGTAGAGAAGTGTGTTAATAATTTATGCACTTGGCTTGGGGAGGAATTACAGTGTCTCACATGGATTTCATTTTGTTTCAGTGAAACATTCATAGGAGCAAAACCCTAGGATATCTTGCATCTGACAGTGCTGTCTCTTGAACATGTGAAATAATGTGAGATGAGGGATGCTGATGAATTTTTAGACCTTTATGGCACAGATCATCAGGTGGATCTAATTTCCAGGGAGCATAGAAATGCAAGAAAGTTCTTAGAAACAAGCTGTGAGTTCCTGATTTTGCTTCTTGATCTTTACTCAAAACAGGTTAGATTAATTCAGTCACTATTCTACTGTATGCCAGCTGGAAGTCATCTCCAGAGGCTGAAATCTGCCGAGATGAAAAAGCATTTTTATTCCAATATTCAGAGAAAGAAGTTGAAAGAGACCAGTCACAAAGAAAAATTTTCAATTCTGGAATTTTAACTTAAATGTGACAAAATAAACCTTCACTCTAGTGTCTATGGGCTACACATCAGGGTGTGAAGAACTTTGAATGCTGTGAATTAGTTAAAACTGAGCTTGAATTACAAATGGAGTTGATACTCCAGATTTTATCTAAGTTTCAGCAAGAGCTTGAATACACTAAAGTGACAGTGTTTGTGAAAGAAGGGCACAAACATTGCTGCTGATGAGCTTGGGGTACATGTTTGCAGCTTTAGCAGTTGTAACAAGTTTATTTCAGGAATGAAATAACCATCTTGGAAAAACTTACAACCATGTGGTGCTCAGATGTCAGCCTGGCACTGACCTGTTAGCCTGCTGATGAATTGGCCCATGTGGAATGCTGAAATTATTTGTGTTTTATCACTCTGCTGTTATGTCTGTATCACTCCTGGCCCAAAT